GGAGCCTAGAACTGTGCCACTAGCTTACATGCAGCTACGTAAATTTAAAATTAAATAGAATGAAAAATTCAGTGTCTCAGTTGCACTAGCCACATTTCAAATGCTCATTAGCCATATGTGACTAGGGGCTACCCTACTGAATAGCACAAACATGGAACATTTGTATCATCGCAGAAAGTCCCACTGGACAACACTGGGTAGAGGCAGTGAGACCGAGTAGGAGGTTCCTGAAAAAGCCCAGGCAGGAAGAGGCACTGAGGGTCTTCTCCAGGCAGTGTCACGGTGATGGAGAGAAGAGGTCGGACTGAAGAGGGATTCAGGCAGTAGAATCTGAAGAGTTTGGTGAGAGGTGAATGAGAGAAGGAATTTTTACAGATTCCCGGGTTTCCGGCTGGGGTGACGACCTGGAGGGAAGGTGTCTGGGTAGAGGGGTGACATCATCCATTTGGGCATGTTGAGGATGCAGTGGCAGGGGCCCTCTGGGTGGACATCTGCAGCGGGTGATTAGATGTCCAGAACTGAAGCTCCACATCCCCATCTAGTAGACTGGAAGACCCCCCCAGCTTTAATTATTCACCTCTGCTTCCCACGGTACCTGTGTCCACCAGTGTCCTTCCTCTCTGCCAGGTCTGGGAACAGAAATGATTGGGACTCAACCTCTGTCCTTGAGGGACCCATAGTCTGGGTTAGGGTTTGGGTTTGGTTACGAGCCAGCCCAAAACTACAGCTCCTTTTGACCAGACCCACGACAGAGGTGAGAATGGAATGATGAAGGTCACAGAGGAGGACTCGCCCCACAAGGAGCAGGGAAGGGGCTGCCAATTACTGCACTCTGACCACTGGCCAGGCTGATGAATATGCACTGAATAAACTTGTTGAGTGACCCAGGGATGCCCATCCCCTGACCTTAACCTTAGCCACACCCCACATCCCTGTGCCCCACTCCTCTGGACAGTGAACTCTGAATGTGTCTTCTCTCACGACAGCCACCTGGTTTGCCCTCTTTCCTGCCGCATGCCCACTGAACTGCTTTTCCCCCACATTCTGGCTCCGGGAAAAATTACTTAACAACTGTAAGATGAGTAACAACTGTAAGGTGAGGCCAATAATAGTGCCCACCTCACAGTGTTGTTATGAAGCTAAAATAGAGATGGTCAATATTAACAACAGCACACAAGTTGAGGCATAGTGGGTACTCAATAAATTTTAACTGTAAGGATTATTACTTGCAACTTCCATAAAACAAATGCAGGGAAATAACCAGCGATAGGAAAGAAATCTATTAATGAAAAAATCCCATCCCCAAAAAGTACACAGCATGATTTCATTGACATAAAAAACAAGTACAGACAAGGCTCATATGTGCTGTTAGAAGCTGGGGTCATGGTTACCCTTGGGGAGGGCGGTGCCTAGGGTGCTGGTGACGTTCTGTCTTTTGATCTGAGGGCTGGCTATGTGGTTTTGATAACTCTGTAAAAAATTTGTTGAGCTGTACAGATTATCTGCACTTTTCTGCATGTATCTTAGAATTTAATGAAAAGTTTTAAGAAAATATTTAAAAGAAAAAGACGTCTCTTGTTTGGAAGTTCAAATAATTTGTCTAGATACGCCAGCCTCAAGGAGGGGAGCAGAACTCCCCACTCCTTGGGCGTGGGCTGTGCACAGTGACTTCCTTCCAAAGAGCATGGTATGGAAAGGGGGAAGAAGTAACATCACCATGGAGAAACTTGATAAACGCTACTTCAGCCAGCTGATCACCATCAACTTCAACCTACCCGTCAGGTTGATATTATGTGCCCTTGATATGATGTGATCAAAATGGCACTTTATTTCTGTGGTCTTTCTAACAATAACTCATAATCCCAGCCTTACCATGAGAAAAACATCAAACAAATTTCAACAGTAGGACATCATAAAAAATACTTGACCAGGACTTCTGAAAACTCTCAAGGTCATCAAGAACAAAGATGGAGTTACAACCAAGGCTTCCCTAAAGAAATATCCCCTGAAAGGATAAATTGGGAGTTTGAGATTTGCGAGTATTAACTACTATATATAAAATAGATTAAAAAAACAAATTTTTTCTGTATAGCACAGAGAACTATATTCAATATCTTGTAGTAACCTATAATGAAAAAGAATATGAAAATGAATATATGTATGTATATGTAGGACTGAAACATATGCTGTACACCAGAAATTGACACATTGTAGCTGACTATACTTCAATTAAAAAATAAATTTAAGAAAAAAGAGAGATATTCCCTAAGGAGATATGATGACTAAATGTAATACGGTGTCCTTCATGACAGGACCCTGAAACAGAAGAAGACGTTAGGGTAAAAACTAAAGAAACCTGAATGAAGTATGACTTTAGCTAATTAGAGGGGGAGAGAGAGGGAGAGGAGGAGGGAGATAGGAAGGAAGGAAAAGAAGGGAGGGGGAGAGAGACAGAGAGAAAGAGTCAATTTTCTATAAAACTTACCCTAACCTCAAACCTTGACCTTTTTTATAGAGGGAGCTGAACCCAGTGGAAACACAAACAGAAAACAGCTTTCCTTTCCTCTCAGCCTCGGTCTCCAACATGCTCCATGACTCTGTCAGATTCCCCCGCCTTGCCCTTTGACATCGTCACAGACTGATCCTACAGCCTTCTCACATTCAGGACTGAAAAGCCCAGTCCTATCTAAATAAAAATGTGTGTCTCATGTCCAGTTTCGGGTTTGTCCCCAGCCTCCTCGCAGACCCCACCCATGGGAAGGGGAGAGGCGCACTCTGCTTCTGTACTCCCTTCTCAGCCACCCCACCCACCCCATCACCAGGGAGGGGACGGGGGCAGGGGGTGCTGGAAGAGGAGCCAATCTCTTTTTTTTTTTACATTTTTATTGATTCATAATCATTTTACAGTGTTGTGTCAAATTCCAGTGTTCAGCACAATTTTTTAGTCATTCATGGACATATACACACTCATTGTCACATTTTTTTCTCTGTGATTTATCATAACATTTTGTGTATATTTCCCTGTGCTATACAGCCAATCTCTTTTTATTTGGGTGGTGCTTTTTATCTTCTCTCTGAGCTCAGAATGCCCTTGTGTGTAGCAGATGCTCCACTGCCAGCTTTTCATCGAGTGCCTTTGAGCCCCAACCTGTCTTCCACATCACACAGTTCCTAACATAGCTGCTGGACTCTCTGGCTGACCTCTTGCCTGCCCCTCAGCTTGTTCCTGCAGGGTACCCCCTGTAGCCTGTCACTGCTGGGGTCTCCTCCCCTCTGTAGTCAGGTCTCATCCATGCAGCTGAATGGAGTCTTGTTCCCTTCAGCATGTCTGCCTGGCCCTCGGGAGACTCACATCCTGGTGAGGTACCCAACTCGGGCCGTGCGGGCTGCCCTCTGCCATCACAGGCTGCTCCGCTCAGCCTCCGTGCCCACAAGCTTCTCCCAGACCCAGGGATATGTGTCAAGCAGGTGCACAGAGTGGTCTGGAGCACAACCTTCTAAAGGTTCGAGTCCCAGCTCTAACACACTGCTATGTGCCCTACAACAAATTACACAACTTCTTTGTGCCTCTATTACCCCATTGTAATGTGAGAATAGGATTATCTTCTATCCCATAGGATTACTGAGAATGGTTTTTGTTATGCGTATAAAGCTCTTATAACAACGTGGGGCCCAAGAGCACGGGGTGCTGTAAAGTGTGTGATAAATACGCAAATGCCCGCAGTCTTCCTCTCCATGTGGACTCACGGCTGGGGATGTCCCTTCTTGCAGGGATCCCACTCTTAAGGTTTAGGTCTCCTGGAACTCCCTCCACTTGCCTTCATGCAACGGGGGAGGGGAGAACCACCATGGGGCTCCTTACAGAGCAGCTGACCTCTGCCTTGGAGCTCCCTTTCATACAGGAGACACCCACTGCCTCCGTGTCGGTTACTGGGTAGCTGACACTTGTCCCATCTCCTCTGCCTCTCCTCTCTATGTAGATACACAGATAGACGTACATTTTTAAACAGAACCATTTAAAAGTAAGTTGCTGAAGTCATGACACTTCACCCCCTAAACACTACAGCATTCACCTCCTGAGAATATTAATCTCCAAAGAGTATTTCCTAAAATATTCTCCCACTTAACCATGATACTATGCCCATAACCTAAGAAAATTAACATTAATTCCATATCATCCAAGCTCCAGTCCTTGTTCGTGTGCCTTCAGTTGTCCCAAAATGTCTTTTGTAGATTTAAACAAATGTTTTTTTAAATCCAGTGTCCAATCAATGTTCACATACTGCATTTGTTTGTTATGTTTCTTTAGTCTCTTTGCTCTAGAAAAGGACCTTGCCTTTTTTTTCCTTTAATGTCATTGACCATTTTGAAGAGTCCACGCCAGTAGCCATGAAGAACAGCCACAGCATGGATTTTCTTCATTCATGTTTGCCGTCTCTTACCAGGAGGGAGGAGGGTGAGGGGCTCTTTCTTCAGAATATAGGGACCCCGTCATCTCTCGTCTTCACGTTAAGGACTCAGGCTGGAATTCAGAGGCGGCTGGAACATGCCCATTCCCCGTCTGGATTCACAGGGTGTTGGAGGGGTGTTACAGGGCACCCTTCTGGAGGGGAGCAGTGAGTCCCCTCCGCCTGTTCAGCCTGGACTGAGTGCCCAGGCAGGGTCCTTCCTCATGGGCACAGTGGGAAAGAAGGCTGCACCAGCCCAGAGGACTTTGACTGCTAGCGCCCTGCCCTGCCCTTGAGAGGAATAAGCACCCCCCTCCACTGACTCTGGACCCTGAAAGGAGCTGGACATTCCTCCCCAGGGACATATCACCTGTCCCCAAAGAGCTGCCCCTGGGCCCTGGGTAGTAGGTGGAGCTGAAGCATCATGGCCCAAGGCCAAGGGCTAAGCCTTTCACCTTTTTTCGGTGACTTTGATATCATGTGACCAGGACTGCAGGGCCAGTCTGATAGGGGTGGCGTTTATAAAGGGGCTCCTCACCCAGAGCCAGAAGCTCCGTACTGGCCCCACAGTCCTGCTGATCTCAAGCATCCGCCTCTACAGTTATCTTTCTTGGGCCCATCTCAGTCCCTGGGGACCCCCATCATATGTCCTGGGAACCAGTGGAGATGGAGGACACTGGGTTAGGTGTAGGAGGCCTGAGTTCTAGTCCTTGCTGCCCAGCTCCAGACTTCAGTTTCTCCATTTTTAAATGAGCTTGGGGTGGGGTGTAGCTCAGTGGTAGAGCTCATGCTTAGCATGCGTGAGGTCCTGGGTTCAATCCCCAGTAGCTGCATTAAAATTTTTTTTAATTAAAAAAAATTTAATGAGAAGCTTGGACTAGGTCACCTCTGAAGACCCTTAATGTGATCAAAGTGGGGAGATGGGTGGGACTCCCCACCTGGCACGAGGACTGCAGCCAAAGCTCAGTCTCCAGCAAGACAGTGAGCAGATGGGGGCTTGTCTTTGGAGGAGGTGTCCCTCTTGGTCTTGATAAAGAATGCCCTTGAGGAGGGGGCATCACGAGCCATTTTCATCAGCCCTGGAACCTTGGTCCCCTCAGCGCTGTTGGGTTGGGGAGTAGCTCTGTGTTCCCTGGGTATGAGGGGGCATCAGCAGGAAGCCAGCCCTGCTGGGGAACCTTTGGCACAATCTCCAGCATACACCCTGCACTGGGAGCTCACAAAGGTGTTTCCCCACTTTGAAATGGTAACTGCAGCCTCAGAGTTGGAAACTGAGGTGATGGGTGGAGGGGAGGGCCAGGACACTCAAGTTGGGAACCTCGAGGCTCCTTTCCAGCCCTCAGATTCTGTGATGCTTTAAGGGTGGGCTCCTGGGATGCAGGACCTGTGGTGGATGTAACTTAGTTTTCCTGGTGTCCAGCTGGAAGCCAAGCACAGAACAGTGCAAGTGTTTATTGACCAAGTAATTAAATGAATGAATGAATGCCTCCATCTTCTCCTTCAGTCTGTCTCCTCCTTCCTCTTCCCCATAGTTGGTACAGATGGCATTGTCCCAGCCTAGTCCCTTCTCGACCACAGAGCTTCTCCTGGCCTCTGCCATCTTCTGCCTTGTATTCTGGGTGGTCAGGGCCTGGCAGTCTCAGGTCCCCAAAGGCCTGAAGAGTCCACCAGGGCCCTGGGGCTGGCCCCTGCTCGGGCACGTGCTGACCTTGGGGAAGAGCCCACACGTGGCCCTGTCGCGGCTGAGCCAGCGCTACGGAGACGTGCTGCAGATCCGCATTGGCTGCACACCTGTGCTGGTGCTCAGCGGCCTGGACACCATCTGGCAGGCCCTGGTGCGGCAGGGCGACGATTTCAAGGGCCGGCCTGACCTCTACAGCTTCTCCCTGGTCACTGATGGGCAGAGCATGACTTTCAACCCAGACTCTGGACCAGTGTGGGCTGCCCGCCGGCGCCTGGCCCAGAATGCTCTCAACACCTTCTCCATCGCCTCCGACCCGGCTTCCTCATCCTCTTGCTACCTGGAGGAGCATGTGACCAAGGAGGCTAAGGCCCTCCTCTGCAAGTTTCAGGAGCTGATGGCAAGCCCTGGGCACTTCGACCCCTACAATCACATAGTGGCATCAGTGGCCAATGTCATTGGTGCCATGTGCTTCGGCCAACACTTTCCCCAGAGCAGTGAAGAAATGCTCAGCCTTGTGAAGAGCAGCCATGATTTTGTGGAGATCGCTTCCTCCGGGAACCCCGTGGACTTCTTCCCCATCTTTAAATACCTGCCCAGCCCTGGTCTGCAAAGGTTCAAGGACTTCAACCAGAAGTTCCTGAAGTTCCTGCGGAAAACAGTCCAGGAGCACTATCAGGACTTTGACAAGGTGAGCCAGGATGCAGGTGGTATGGGGCACCCTGGAGACTGAGTGTGGTCCCTCTTACCCCGCTTCAAGGTAGCTATGCTGCTGGTGTGCAGCCAAGGCCTAGGAAGGCTCTGGGACACCTCAGACCTGCTGTGTCTCTTGGAGCCAATCCCTCTCCCTCTCTGGCCTCAGTTTCCTTATGCCTGTAGCCTTGCTGTCAGGGCTGCTCAAAGCCCCGGGGAGACAAGGCTGTGAATGGGGCCCTGGCAGCGCCCTGTGATGTGGGGTGGTGTTGTTATGAGTGAGAAGGCTTTTGTTCTGCAGGAACCTGAACCCTGACAGAGACTAATTCCCAGCTCAGGTGTCATTTTGCTTCCCCGTACCCACACCAACCTCCTTTGAAACTAGACCCCTGGGGTTATTGGGAGGAAGGTTCAGTGAGGGATGAAATGATACTCTAAGCCCTACATAGAGCTGCTACCAGCTCCTGCTGTGAACTCAGCCCCCTGCCCAGAGGCCAGCAGTAGTGCCAGACGGGATGGGGTACAGTCCAGCCTCACACCCCAGAAGTGCTGGGGTGCCCCTAAGCTTGTGCCCTCTCAGAACAGAGTCCAGGACATCGTAGGTGCCCTGTTCAAGCACAGCGAAGAGAACTCCGGAGCCAGTGGTGGCCTCATCCCCCACGAGAAGACTGTCAACCTTGTCAACGACATCTTTGGGGCCGGTAGGAGCCAGCCCCTTGCCTCTTAATTCCTCAGTGCCTGCTGTTCACCCACAACCTTGCCCAGCCCCCAGGTCCATTAGAAACTCACCAACCACATGCCAAATGGTGCAGGACACAGAGACCTGACCCAGACTCGGGGTCTGAGCCCAGGCTGGACCCCCAGCTCCCAGTGAACACTCAACCAAGTCTCTCCTCTGCGAGGCTTGCTTCCCATCCGAACAGTAAAGCCCTTTCTGGTCTGTAAGTCCAGCCCCTCATAATTGCAGGGGCTAATTATGAAACCAGGGACTCAGGCTGGAGTGGAGACCCAGCTTCTGCCCTCAGAAGACGGGGGGATGTAAGAAGGTGGGGACAGCGGGGAAAGGGGCAAAGGAAGACAATGCTTGGTACATACACATACTCAGTAAATGCTGGCGTCTTGTTCCTATATTCCTTTCTCCCTCACCTTGCCCCCCTGCTGCCCAGGGTTTGACACGATCACGACCGCCATCTCCTGGAGCCTCATGTACCTCGTGACAAATCCTGAGATACAGAGGAAGATCCAGGAGGAGCTGGGTATGTGGTATCCCCCAGTCCTCTAGCAGAGAGAAGCCTTGGGGTCCCGGGTCATTTGTTCAGTCTAAATATAGGTGCTAAGTGCCTACTAAGAACAGCCTAGGCATGCAATGGTGCCTGCCCTTCCTAGAAGATGCTGGGGGTCAGTGGGTGTCAGACCTGTAAACAGACATAGTGCCACATAGAGTGACACCTGGTGTAACAGGGGACGCAGATGCCTTGGAGCAGTCAGAACGGTCCCTAAGCCTGGTCTGTCCTCTGTGCTCTGCAGACACCGTGGTTGGCAGGGCGCGGCGGCCCTGGCTCTCTGACAGGCCCCAGCTGCCCTACTTGGAGGCCGTCATCCTGGAGACCTTCCGACACTCCTCCTTCGTCCCCTTCACCATCCCCCACAGGTGAGATCTGCCTATTCCCCCCTCCCACCTCTGAAGTCCGCCATGTTTTCTCCTTCCAGCTCCTCAGCCCTGGCCCTGGTCAGACCTCGGCATCTCCTTCCTGGCCGGGACACCGGGTTCTCCACAGACCCTCAGCCTCTACTCTGTCCCCATCCAGTCCAAATATGATCCAACTACCTAGCTCTCAGGAGAAACTCACACTCCTGACCTCAGCTCTCATTCACCTCTGCTCACGTTCCCTCCCCCAAGGACAGCCTGGACAGGCTGTCCTCACCATCCCTCACAAGCACAATCCAGCCAGCCTCCAGCTGCACTTATGCTGGACCTTCTACTTGGAATACCTTCTGGCCACCTCCTGCTCCCTGGCCACCAGAATGCTATCCTATCCTATCCTGACACAAACTTACCCTCCCCTAGAAGCCTTTCTTGGCTCATCCAGCTGGCACAGATTCCTTCTGTAATATCTTATATGGACTTACAGCCATTTGCCCTTGATCATGTCCTGGGATTTTAACAATGTCGAGAGAGTTAGTGAACACTTACTTCTGCCCATATGTGGGTCTAGTTATTCCCAGCCAGGCTGAGAACTCCCCAGGACTGGCCCAGATGGCCTGCTTCATGGGCACAGCCGAGCACAAACAAAAGTTTAGTAAACATTTGTGGAAGGTGAAGGGGACTTCCCCGAGGAAGGGGAAGTCTCATTTCACCCCTTCCTGGCTCCTGACGCTCCCTCCCAGGGCAGGGTGTGGAGACTATGGTGGGCAGGCTATTGGGGTGGGATGGGGGTAGGAGCAAGAAGCTCCCAGAGACACACCCCTGGGCCTGACAGAGCCCTCTTCCCTCAGCACGACAAGAGACCCGACGCTGAATGGCTTCTACATCCCCAAGGAACGCTGTGTCTTTGTAAACCAGTGGCAGGTCAATCATGACCAGTGAGTACACGTCCCCCACTGAAAAGTGTGTGAAGTTCAGCAGTCAGGAAGGCTGACTGTCCAGCCTTCCTGGACAAAGTAATATATAACAAAGTAATGGTGCCTCAGTTGCATACAGCCTGCTCTAAGAGACAAAAGGTAGGTCGACATTTCTCAAACTTTAGTGCATTGACCAGAAGTCTGGACAGATTGTGGTGCCCCGTCCCCCGAGATTCCACTTTGGTAGGGAAGCTGGAGTATCGTTAAGTGATTCTGGTGTGAATGGCCTAGGGATTTCTCCTTGGAAAATCCCGCTTTAGTCTCTAGATAGGGGGGTCATGTAATTTAGTATCCAAACTGGGGTACCTCTGAATGTGAAGAGGGAGGCTGTCAATAATTACCCCAAAACAATAAGCATAAAACAGGATGGACTGTTGATCCCCCTTGTATATTGAGTAGGATAGAGACAAGCATGTGTTCCTTCTTTTAATTTCTTTAAGTTAAAGCAGTATTTATTTAAAATAACAAATTAATATTAAAAAGCACTATTTTCAAGGCTAGTTGTTTTAGGGAGAGGTATGTAATAAAAATAAGCATCAAAATACAGTTTGGCCCCTTCCCCCACCCTGCTTTCTTTGCCCTAGCTCTATTCTAACACTGAAGTTGCCCCCAAGGCCTTTCCCCCCAGAGATCCCATCTTCTCCATTCCTCTTGCAGGAAGCTGTGGGGGGATCCATCTGAGTTCCGGCCGGAGCGATTCCTCACTGCCTACGGCACCGCCATCAACAAGACCCTGAGTGAGAAAGTGATACTCTTCAGCATGGGCAAGCGCCGGTGCATAGGGGAGGTGCTGGCCAAGTGGGAGATCTTCCTCTTCCTGGCCATCTTGCTGCAGCAGCTGGAGTTCAGCGTGCCACCAGGCACGAAAGTGGACCTAACCCCCATCTATGGGCTGACCATGAAGCATGCCCGCTGCAAGCATGTCCAGGCACGGCTACGCTTCTCTATCAAGTGATGAGTTTGCTGTCATTCTGAGGCAGATGGAGAGATGGAGGTCACTGAGGAACCCTTGTTTCTTTCTTTCCTTTTTACTAACAGCCTTATAGAGATATAATTCATATACATATAATTCACCTCCTTAAAGAATACAACCCAATGGCTTTTAGTATGTTCACAGAGTTGTGCTTCCACACCGCAATCAATTTTAGAACTTTCTCATCACCCAAAAGAGAAACCGATGCCCATTAGTGGTCATTCCCATTTCCCCGTAACCCACCGTCCCTATTCCCACCAGCCCTAGGCAACTACTAATCTGCTTTCTGTCTGTTTAGATTTGCCTGCTCTGGATATTTCATAAAAATGCAATTATACAATTAGTGGTCTTTTGTGACTGGCTTCTTCACTTAGCATAATGTCTTCAAGGTTCATTCACGTAGCAGCATGCATCAGTAAGCCCTGGTTTCTTGAGTCCTGAAACTAGACCCAAGTCTGTTTCCTCAGTTATTGAGGGGTACATCTCTCACTGCTCTCTATTCTCTCCTGTCCTGTATGATCCAAGTCTTGGAACACTTGAAGGGAACAGGGAGGGGGTACTCAGCCTTGTGGGCCAAACCCAGATGGGTGACGGGGGATATCTCACGTCCAATCCTCCAAAGGTAGAGAATATCTGCCTTCTCCCAATGTCTGATTTGTTCATCCACAGCTAGGGAAGGATAAGCTCCCCAGAAGTGCTTGAGTTACCTGCAAAAGGCCCAGTTTGCTTCAAAGGGGACTATCAAAAGAGTGAAAAGATAAGCCACAGAATGCAAGAAAATATTTGTGATTCATATATCTGATAAGGGATTAATATCCAAAATATACGAAGAACTCCTACAACTCAACAACAAAAAACCAAACAGCTTAATTCAAAAATGGGCAAAAGAATGGAGATTTTCATTTTGTAATATACAGAATTATCAAATCACTATGTTGTGTACCCATAACTAACATAGTATTGTAGGTCAATTACACTTCAAAAAACAAACAAACAAATTTCATAGAAAAAGAGGTCAGGCTGTTTACTAGAGGTGGGGGTTGAAGGAAGGGGGATTTGAATGAAAGCGGTCAAAAGGCACAAATTTCCAGTTATAAGATAAATAAATAAGGACTGCAATGTACAATGTGATTAATATAATTAACAATGCTGTATGATAAGTTGCTAAGAAAGGAAATCCTAAGAGGTCTAATCACAAGAAAAAAATTTTTCCTATTTCTTTAATTTTGTATCTGTATGAGATGATGGATGTTCACTAAACTTATTGTGATAACCATTTCATGATGCATGGAAGTCAAATTACTATGCTATATACCTTAAAATTATACAGTGCTGTATGTCAACTATATATCAGCAAAACTGGAAGAAAATAAACAAACAAACATGGGCGAAAGGCTTGGACAGATAGTTCTCTAAAGAAGATATTCAAATGGACAAGTACATGAAAAAACACTCAACATTGTTAGTTATTAGGGAAATGCAAATCAAAACTACAATGAGGTATCATTCACACATACCAGAATAGCTGTAATAATAATAAAAAAAACTAGACTGCTATGAATATAAGTTACTATATGTAAGCCTTATGGTAACCACAAAGCAAAAATCTACAGCAAACACACAAAAAAATAGAGGAAGGAATTCAAGCATAGCACTACAGACAATTAACAAATCACAAAGAAAGACAGCAAGGGAAGAAAGGAACAGAAGAATTACAAAATAGCCACAGAACAATTAACAAAATGGCAATAAGTCCCTACTTATCAATAATTACTTTAAATGTAAATAAACTAGATTCTCCAATCAGAAGACATAGAGTTGTTGAACACATTAAAAAAAACAAGACCTATCTATATGCTGCCTACAAGAGACTCACTTCAGATGTAAGGAAACATAGTCTGAAAGTGAAGGGATGGAAAGATGACATTCCATGCAATATAAACCAAAAGAAAGCCGGAGTGGCTATACCTTGTCAGACAAAACAGACTGTCTAACAACTTCAAAGACTGTAAAAAGAGACAAATGTCATTACATAATGATCAAGGGGTCAATCCAACAAAGAATATAACGTTCATAAATATTTATGCACCCAACAAAGGAGCACCTAAATATATACAGCAAATATTAACAGACCTAAAGAGAGAAATAAACAGCAACACAATAATAGTAGGGAACTTTAATACCCCACTTTCATCAATGGTTAGGTCATCAGACAGAAGACCAATAAGGAAACACTGGCTTAAACAACATATTAGACCAGATAGACTTAACAGATATATAAAGAACATTTCACCCAAAAACAACAGAATACACACTCTTCTCAAATGTTCGTGGAACATGCTTCAGGATACAACACATATTAGGTGACCCAAAAAAGTCTTAATAAATTTAAGATAAATTAAAGAGATAAATTAAAATGGGACTACAACATACCAAAACTTATGACATACAGCAAATACAGTTCTAAAAGAGAGGTTCGGCAGGGAGGGCAGAGCTCCAGTGGTAGAGTTCACGCTTAGCATGCACATGGTCCTGGGTTCAAACAAATGAAAAAGAGGTTCATAGTAATAAAAGCCTATCTCAAAAAGAAGAAAAATCTCACAAAAATACAACTTACCTTTACACCTCAAGGGAATAGAAAAAGAAAAACAAAAAGCCCCAAAGCTAGCAGACGTAAGGAAATAACAAAGATCAGAGTGGAAAACAATGAAATATAATATAACAGGAAAAAAAATCAATGAAACTAAGAGCTGATTCTTTGAACAAATAAATAAAATTGACAAACCTTTCACTAGATTCACCAAGAAAAAAGATAAAGGACTGAAATAAATAAAATCAGAAATGAAAGAGGAGACATTACAACTGATCCCACAGAAATATGAAGTATCACAAAAAAGACTACTATGAACAATTAGATGCAGACAAATTGGATAACCTAGAATAAATGGATACATTTCTAGAAAAATACAACCAACTAAGAGTGAAACATGAAGAAAACAGAAAATCTGAACAGAATGATTACTAGTAAGGAGATTGAATCAGCAATTAAGAATCTCCCAACAAACAGAAGTCCAGGACCAGACAGCTTCACTGGTGAATTCTACCAAATATTTAAAGAAGAATTAATACCAATCTTTCTTAAACTCTTCCAAAAAATTGAATAGGAAAGAACACTTCTAAATTCAGTTTACGAGACTAGCATTACCCTGATACAAAAACCAGATGAAGACCCAAGAAGAAAAGAAAATTACAGGCTAATCTCTCTGATGAATATAGATGCAGAGATCCTCAATAAAATATTAGCAAACAGAATTCAACAATACATTAAAAGGATCTACATCATGATCAAGTAGGATTTATTCCAGAGATGCAAGGATGGTTAATCACAAAGCAAATCAATCAATATAATACACTACATTTACAAAATGAAGGATTAAAATCATACGATAATCTCAACAGATACAGAAAAAGCATTTGACAAAATTCAACATCCACTTATGATTTAAAAAAAACTCTCAACAAGGTGCATATGGAGGAAATGCACCTCAACATAATAAAGGGCATGTATGATAAGCTCACAGCTAACATCACACTCAAAGGTGAAAGCTAAGAGCTTCCTTCTAAGATCAGGATCAAGACAAGGATGCCCACTCTCACTTCTTTTACTCAACATAGTATTGGAAGTCCTAGCCAGAGCATTTAGGCAAGAAAAAGAAATAAAAGGCATTCAAATTGGAAAGGAGGAAGTAAAACTGTCACTAAAAGCAGATAACATAGAAAACCCTAAAGACTCCACCAAAAAACTGTTAGAAATCATAAACAAATTCAGTTAAGTTTCAGGATACAAACTCTGTATACAAATATCTGTTGCACTTCTATACATCAGTAATGAACTATCAGACACAACATTGTAAACTGATCATACTTCAATAAAAAAAATTATACAAAAAAACAAAAACGCAGCATAGACATGCAGCGGAATATTATTCAGCCATAAAAAAGAAATGCCATTCTGATGCAATCTATAACCTGGGTAAAATTTGAAAACATTATGCTAAGTGAAATAAGCCAGATACAAAAGGACAAATATTGTATGGTTCCACTTGCATGAGGTATCTAGAATAGAGAAATTCATAGAGAAAGAAAATATAGTAGAGGTTACCAGGGGCTAGGGGGTGGGGAGCAGAGAATGGAGAGTTATTGTTTAATGAGTACAGAGTTTATTTGGGATGATAAAAAAAAATTCTAGAAATGAATGGTAGTGATAGTTGCACAACATTGTGAATATACTTAATGCCACTGAATTATACATTTCAAAATGGTTACAATGGTAAATTTGGTTTTATATGTATATTTTTTACCACAATGTTTAAAGGCAAGTACACAATAAAATACTGTGTGCAACAAAAAGAAATAAGTATCAAAGCCACAAACAGACATGGAGGAACTTCAAATGCATATCGCTAAGTGAAAGAAGCTAATCTGAAAGGTTACCTACTTTATGATTCCAACTATATGACGCCCTGGAAAAGGCAAAACTATGGAGGCAGTAAAATGATCAGTGGTTGCCAGGAGTTCAAGGGTGAGGAAGGAGGGGTGGGAGGAAAGATGCACAGGTGGAGCACAGAGGATTTTTAGGGCAGTGAAACTATTCTGTATGATACTGTCACGGTGGGTACATGGCATTACACATTTGTCAAAACCCACAGAATGTACAACAGGAAGAGTGAACCCTAATGTAAACTACGGGCTTCAGTTAACAAAAGCGTATCAGTATTGGGGGGAGGGGACAGCTCAGTGGTAGAGTGCTTGCTTAGCCCCAGTACCTCCACGGAAAAATAAAAGAATAAACCTGGTTACCTCCCCCCAGACAAAACAAAACCAAATGTATCAATGTTGGTTCATCAACTGTAAAATTTGTACCTACTAATGCCAAGATGTTAAAAATAGAGGAAACTGGGAGCAGGAAGAACAGGTACATGGGAACTCTCAGTACTTTCTGCTCATTTTTCTATGACTTAAAACTGCTCTTCTCAAAAGTGTATCGATTAAAAAAGAAGGCAAGTAACGAAATACCGCCAAACATTAGAAGAAAAGGCCCAGCCCTACCCTCTCTGCACGTGGCCCTGGGGGTGGCGCACACATTGTGCTCACTTCCTCAGTGGCAGAGCCCCCTACTTTTCAGCTCCGAGGCTCCCTCATTTCACCTCCAGTGTTTCCACCTGCAAAAGGAAGGCAGAGTTGAATTAGTTGATCTCATAAGAGCCCCCAGCTCTAAGTGCATGGTAAGTTTGCTTTGGTCTCCACAAAATGAGAGAGCTATTCATTATGTTTTATGTGT